TGGACTCAAGCGTGGCAACAGTAGTGAGGTTGGTCCAGGATTGGGCAGTATTTCATTCTGCTGTGCATAAGATTGCTATGAGTCGGTACTGACTTGATGGCACCTAACAACAACAACAAGACAAACTCATGAGCTTAATTTTTACTGGTGATAATTAATGGTATTATTATAATGGATTGATAATGTCATCAAGTATAGAGTGCTTCAATAGGCATTGAACTCTTCAATTAAACTGTTAGTGGTTCGAAGCCTTGGAGACAGTGTATAGAACTCCAAAAGGCTATGTAATCGAAGGAGTCTCTTTCGGTTGAGACATCGGAGTGTCCCAATGCATTCTGGGCACTAGCTATCTTACAGAACAGCCCATCGCCAGCTGCTCCTTTCTCCTTACACCTGCAAGTGTTTTATGCTGCGTTGGGGCTAATAGCATCGATCACAGTTAGAGATAAGGAGCCCTGAAGGTGCAGAGGTTAAACACGTGATTGCAATCTGAAAGATTGTCAGTTCGAACCCTCCCAGTAACGCTGCTTCCATAAAGATCACAGCCAGGTGAACCCGAAGGATCAGGTCTACTCTGTTCCTGGGGGTCACTATGAGTATAAGTCAACTCAGCAACACCTAGCAACAACAGTAAAAGCTACTCTTTTTTTTCTGTTTTGCTAATAAAAAAAAAAAAAAATTAAAAAATGGGGAGGGCGAAGACAAATTTGAAGTCAGCTTTTTCTTTACTTGCAGAGCTATTAAGCATTTCACATTACTTCCTCTCTACCCCCATTGTATTGTTCCTGCCCCCGCCAGGGCCTTGAGCTCCTCTAACAAGGACCTTGAGGTTATTATCCCCTAGCCCAGCACTTAGTTGATTCTGAATAAACATTGGTAGGATAAATGAATGAAAGATACCCACCAAGTTCTAAGGCATGTGGACTTAGGCAGCAAGCTCATAAATGATCTCTTAACAGGTATAATTTAATGAAAAATATTCATCATGGTCTTAAGTACCTGGTATACACAGTAAGTATTTCTTTTAAAAATGCTTGTGTTTGCATTATTTCTGTTGCAGAAGCAAGAACACAAAGTTGCTCTTTTTGGTCCAAGCTTTATTTGCTGATTCTATTATTCTTTCTCCCATGGTAACTGTCCCTTTATGGATTCATTTTAAAAAATAATAAATTAACAGTTGCCTGAATGTGTTAAAGAAAATGGTTGAATTTCAGTTCTGTAGTACAAATTATCTATGTTTTCAAAATCCTATCATTTTTCTAGTGACCCATGAAATGAAATATCTCACTTCTTCTTCTAAAAGGATATGAGAGTCTATTTTTAAAGCCAACCTTTATAAAGGTCTACCTTTATAAATATTCCTGCACTTTTAGGAAATGATCATTAGAGACCATATATTTCCCAATGATTGGCACTATTTACCATCTGGTTTCTGCTCCTGGCACTTCAATGAACTGCTTGTTCAGGTCACTGAGGACCCTTGAGTGATGTTGTTGTTGTTAGGTGCTACTGAGTCACTTCCAACTCATAGTGATCCATTGCACAACAAAGTAGAAGTTTCTGTAGTAGCCATTTTCATTATTTATTGTGGTTGGGTAGATGAGGGTGGGAAGGAAGACATGTAGAATCTCTTGGAGGGAAATATGTGAAGTTTAAAATTCTTTCCATGTTTCTAATATGCTCCTTTAAGAAGCTGTCTTCTCCCCGCACTTTATTTGGAATCACTGCCAGGCAATGGGAGGTGTTATTGATGGGGACGTTTAGTGCAGGTGAACCTTGCAGAAGGACAAGATTGAGCGCCACTGTTCTTGGAAGCTGGGAGTGCATACAGGAAGGCCTGATTGCTTCTATCAGTGGGGTGAGATCAGGGAGCTACATCATGTAGGAGGTGAATGTTGGGTTTGAGTCTTGAAATGTAGTCAGGAAGGAATTCGACAGATCTCTTTGATTAGTGCTGCATCCGAAGCAGAGGGAACAGCAAACTTCCACTGACCAACAGGTGGTGGTTGTATGTGTGGAATTGAGCCCTGGTCTCTTGTATGGAAGGTGAGAATTTTACTGTTGGATCACCAGTGTCTCAGTGGTTCCTTTAGTAATGTTGAAATGAACACTAAACTGTGTTATACAATTTTTATTTATTTATTTATTTTTAAGCACTGATAAAACATTTCCTAAAGGTGCCTTGCCCCATAAAGACTATGGAGAATTTTGTTTCATTGTCTTGACCTGCCTTTTCTCATTCCTCAGCCCGACAGGAAGAACTCGTGAAATTGACATGCCTTCCAGGAACTACACCCCCTACACTAGAGTCCTGGAGTTAGCCAGGAAGAAAACGCTGACCTAGACGCCAAAATAAGGACAGTTGTTACAAATGGACAAAGACTCTGAACTCTGAGTCTTGAAGTTTGGACAGAATGATGTTTGCTTCCTCACATACACAATTTAAGCCAGAATGGAACTTGTAGAGGTTCTGACCCAATTCCACCACATGAAGAAAGTGAAGACGAGGGGGAGGAGAGAGAGGTTTATGAGGTCATCTATCAGATGCCCAATCCACACAGCCGGCTGTCCTATATCATCATTTGTTTCCCATATAGACACTGAATTGCTTCACCATTGATTTCACTAGACTTTGGTTGGGAGGAAAAAGGGCATTAGCTTGAAATTCATGTTACGATCATTTGTTACTTTGTGAAGGTTTTGTTTACCGTACAAGTATTAGTGGCAGTGTTTCTTTGGAATAGGTGCATGGACACCTGTAGACACATGAGCCTGGAAGAGAAGGGCTCCCAGTGTGCAGGTGCTCTGTCTTCTGGGTTCCGAGGATCGATTCTGTGCAGGATTGGTGGAAACCATGGTCAGAAAGGGTTCTTGCCTGGACCTCACAGCTCCAAGCTTGATTTTAACGTGCTAATCCCCTGGCTTTAATCTGTGCCTTATGCCTTTATTGGGCCAGCTGAAATCACTATATTTATACAATCTGTGATTTTTTTTTTTTTTTTTTTTCTCACTTCAACTTAAGGAGAATTTTGTATATTGTGGAAATGGCATACATTTAATGTTGCAGTATCAGTTGATGTTTTGTTAAGTGGTGAGAAAACTCTTCATGCATGCTCTACTTGGGGACTATAACCCGTGTCACTCATATTTAATAAATGCTATATATTTTGTTCTACTGATGTCCTTGTGTTTCATTTGTGACCATACAGAAAGGGTAGAGGGTAAAACTAGGTCTGGAATGCGTGTCAAAGTACAGCCACAGTGATCTTTCAACCAGTACCATCCATATAAACATCTATAAACCATAACATAGGAGTGTGTGCGTGTACTTATTCCCTGAGATGTATTCAGTTAACTCACCTTCTGAAAAGGAGATACTTTCATGTTTTCAAAATGCAAAAATTGTTTTACCTTTTTTAAAGTTCTCTTTCCTTTGCGCCTGAACTCCCTACCCCTTATTCTCCATACCACAGCCAATCAATCCATCAACAGGCAAACAATAAAGAATTTCAGTTGGATAAGTCACTGTGAGTCAGGATTGTATAATGAGAAAAAGGCATACTTTGGAACCAAATTTGTATTTAACTTCTGGCTGTAGAATCTTGGGCAAATAATCAAAGTCTCTGAATATCAGTTTCATCCACTTGAAATTTGTGATCACTCTAGTGGTTACGCATCGGACTGCGAACCACAAGGTCAGCAGTTCAAAACTACCAGCTGTTCTGTGAGAGAAAGATGAGGCTTTCTGCTCCTGTAAAGATTTATAGCCTCGGAAACCCTGTACAGAGTCACTATGAGTTGGGACCAACTCCAAGGCACACTACCACCACCACCACCATATCTACTTGATGGGCTGCCAGGATTACCAAATGAGATCACTCACAGGGGGCCAAGCACCTAGGTATCAATTACTGTCAGCCTACAGGTTTGCTTTAAAGCACTATTTGCTCAGGGCTACCCTCTCAAATGGACATATTCTAGCCATGAGAAAGTCTTGTCCTGTGGAAATCACCAAGGAGGAGCATTGAGGAAAAAACAGGTCTTGGGACCACAGATAGGAAACCTGGACTCTGAGAGTAGCAGAGGGTCTTAGGAGTCTCCTAGGACCCCTTGAGAAGCTGATCTGGAAACAATTTCTAAATAAAATACAATGGCTTAAATGTGTCCGTTCTAATAAGACCAAAGCAGAAATGAAAGCTCAGCAAATACGTCCACATCTCGTTTCTTAAAACAAGCAAGAAAAAGACAAAAGAAAAACTAATGAGTAATTTTAAACTCAAAGAAGGCCAAGGATCATTCCATATAGTATTAAAAGAGGTTTGTATCTGGGCACTTCATATTTTTAAAGTATTTCTTCAACATGTGGAAAGAATTCTAGAAAGTATCTGAACTGTTCAGAAAGACTACTTTTGAGAGTTCCTAAAGAGATTGAAAACGAATTCTAGCACCAAAATAAAAATACTTCATGATAATGCCTTAATTAATATTTTCATTTCAGTCCTTCAGATTAAACACACACACACCCCTATACTGTTTATTTTGCTTTGTTTGTTAAATGTGACCCTATCTTTAGAAGTCCAGTTTCCTGAGACCAATCTCAGCTCTCTGCCACTCACTTGTTGTTGTTGTTGTTATGTGCCGTGGAGTCCGTTCTGACTCATAGTGACCCTGTACAGGGTTTCCGAGGCTGTAAATCTTTATGGGAGCAGAATGCCTCATCTTTCTGCTGGTAGTTTCGAACTCACTAGTACATTATTAAATGTCAAGTTGATTCCGACCCCATGTAGACTTTCTGATGGGCATCTGGTGGGTTTGAACCACCGACCTTTTGGTCAGAAGTCCAGTGCTTATCCTATAGCACTAAACCAGAACTCACTAGTGTAAGGGACTTCAAAAAATTTGTGAAAAAAAATATCTTTTAATTACATTGTTTTCCACAAACTTTTTGAGTCCCTCTCTGAGCCTCTGGTAGCATAGTTGTTACGAATTGGGCTGTGAACCTTAAGGTCAGCAGTACAAAACTACCAGCTGTTCCTCAGGAGAAAGATGAGGCTTTCTGCTCCCGTAAAGATTTACAGCCTCGGAAACCCTGTACAGGGTCGCTATGGGTCGGAACCAACTCGACGGCACATAACAACAACAACAACTGAGCCTCTATAAAATAAGAAAGTGACCGCTTTTTCTCAACAGAAGTTGATGTGAAGATTAAATTACTTAATACACGTGAAGGACTAAGAATAGTGCTTGCCACATCATAAGCACTTAATAAAGTTTCTTATTATGGGAATCCCTGGGTAGTGCAAACCGTTAACAATCTTGGCTGTTAACTGAAAGGCTGGAGGTTCAAGTCCACTCATAAGTGCCTTGGAAGACAGGCCTAGTAAATTAAAATAATAAAAATGGAATAGAAGCAAATACTGTTAAATGATGATGCATGGAGGGGATTCTAATCATTGCAATGAAATGAAATATGATAGGGTGAGTGCAAAACCAATGTTCTCCCATGTAAACTATCACTCAATTCACAATAAAAGTTTTTTTGTTTTTTTTTTTAAAAGGGTCTAGTGACCCAGTTCCAAAAAATCCACCCTCAAAGACCCTATGGAGTTTCTACTCTGACATACATGGGATCAGCATGAGTCAGAATCAACTACCACAACCAACTTATTATCATTGCATATGTTTGTGACCACATTTCACTTGCATTATGATCTTTCTTTTTATTAATAAATACAAACTGATATTGGTGGGTTTTGGCAGTACACTTATTGCCCAGTGTTGGCATTTTGAGGATTGCTTTTACTCTTTTAATTTAATTTTTATTGTTAATTGAGTGAACAAAATAGATCATCCTTTTTACATTTTGCAAATCATACAGTTTCTTTCATCTCAATGATTGCAGTCCCTTCAATATTGCATCATTTTTCCGACTTCCTCCCTGTGATTCTTGTTTCTATTCCTTCTTTCCCAATCCTTCTGAATTTTCTCTTTACATACATTTTGTCCTTTTGATCTCGAATAGTTGATCATTCCATGGTGTACATATTTCACTAGTGTTGTTGCCCTTCTAGATACCTATGTTCTGCTTGGCTGAACATTGAGCCAGCCACACGGGTGTGTTCAGTTTCAGACTTGAAGAGGACCAAGGATCATTCTCTTGCAAAGATTCTTCCAGTCTTTCTGAATGGTAAGCCTGGTCTTTTTTTTTTTTATTTTTTTTATGACACTATTACTCTTTCTTTTTGAGCAGTCTTTTCATAAACCATCTTGTACACATGTTTTTGTATACTTTACTATTTTCCCAGTATAAATCCCTTGAACAAGAATTGCTGGGTCAAAAGCTAAGCGCATTTTAAGTAAGTCATTTGTTACTTATGGTCCAGTTTGGCCTCTGAAAATGTGTACCCCTTGAAATTCGCCAACAGGATGAGAACATAAGTTCCTAACCCCTTTGCCAACACACTGAGAATGAGAAATGAAGAGTGCTTAAGACTGCTGGCTTTAGGTAGAGACGTCCCCTACAGTAAGAGATGTTCCTTGAGGATGTTGTTGTTATTGCTAGGTGCTGACTCATAGCGATTTTATGCACAGCAGAATGACACATTGTCTGGTTATGTGCCAACTTCACAATCATTACACTTGAGTTCATTGCTGCTACCACTGTATCTGGTAATGTAGTGGTTACGAATCAGGTTGCGAACCTCACGGTCAGCAGTTCGAAACTACCAGCTGTTCTGTGGGAGAAAGGTGAGGCTTTCTGCTCCTGTAAAGATTTACAACCTCAGAAACCCTGTACAAGGACTCCACAGCACATCACAACAACCGCCACCACCACCGTGTCAATCCATCTCATTGGAGATTTTCCTCTTTTTTGTTGACCCTCCACTTCTCCAAGCATGATGTCCTTCTCCAGGGACTGGTCCCTCCTGATAATGTATCCAAAGAATGAGAGACAAAGTGTCAACATCCTGACTTTTAAGTAACATTCTGGTAATACTTCTTCCAACATGGATTTGTTTGTTCTGGCAATGCATGATACTTTAAATATTCTTCTCTAACAACATAACTCAAGTGCATCATTTCTCCTACTATCTTCCATATTCATTGTCCAAGTTTCACATGCATATGAGGCTATTGGAAAATACCATGGCTTCTGTCAGACACATCTTAGTCCTCAAACTAACATCTTTGCTATTGAACACTTTTAAGAGGTCTTGTGAAGCAGATTTGCTTAATGCAATACATCGCTTCATTCTTGACTGCTGCTTCCATGAGTGCTCATGGT